TTTTTTTTTTTTTATCAAAATTATTACTTAGTTTTTATGGTAGCTATAGTTAAGTATATTTTTTATCTATCTGTCGTAATTGTGATTTTTGCCGCCAATGAATCCAAAATTTAAAATTGTTATTTTTTAAATTCACATTTAGTTATTCGTTTTGAAACTTTTAATTCCTAATTAATCCCAAAGTTTGTTTTGTTTAACCTTTGAGGTGTATTTTCACTTTTTGTTATCATAGTCTAAGATAAGTGTTTTATGTATCTACATGTTTAAAAATAAGAAATTTAGGATACTTTTTTTTTAATTTTAGATCGCATTAACTGATTAAATTTCTTTTATGCATATCTATATTATAGTCATCTAAGATGACTTACTCGTCAACGGAGTGATAAATACATAGTTTCTTAGATACCGCTTGTGTACGACGTGGGTTTGCTGAGTTTCCACTGCGGAATAACATGTACAAAAACATATTGATCCTCTAAAGTCACACGTTCAGTTTTAATTTAACAGTTAATTTAACTTCAATTTAGAACTTATTAGTAATATATTTCTAAAGTTGGTTATACCTTCAGTTTTACTATACCAGTGTGTAGACAAAATTGAAAATTGTTGTTTCTGGCAGTTTAAATTTTGCCTACACATGTAAGATTTAATTGCCTGACTACAGGCAAAGGTGAAAGTATGAGGCGGGCTTCAGGTGAACTGTGTTCAGTTTTGCCTGCAAATCTCTTAACTGCACATTTTGATTGTTCTGTTCAAACTGAAGGTGTGTAACAGGTCAGGTATTTTTTTTTTCATGTTTTTTAGTTGTGGATATTCATGCTTTATGTAAACAATAAAATTTCCGCGTCGTATAAGAATTTGCTTGATTTAAAAATAGATTGTTATTTCAATTAAGTTGTAGTTTACTTCGCATTTAAGTATCTTTTGTCGGTTTATGTATAAAATATATATCTGGCATTGTTTTTTTCTATATTTTTAAATCACGTGCGGTTTGAAAGTTGCGACAAATTTCATTAATATTTATATTATTATTAAAAAATATATATTTATTATATTGTTTATATATATTTATAACACTAACGAGTAAAAATTATATTTTATTTTAATATATAATATTATTATTTGGTTTTAATTCAGTTTTTAATATATCAATGTGTATTATGAACTACATATATTTATATTTATTATATAATATGCAATATTAGTTAAGTTCTTAGGTTTAAGTACGTAGGCTTATTGCCATAATGAAATGTTTCATAGTTCTAAGAATTGTAACCGAAATTGCTGATTAGTTTAAGGGTTAAGTAAGTTTCTTAATAAAAAGAGCACTTGAAAGTTTTATTAATATAAGAAAAAGTAATTTTAAGCAATAGCAGTAAGTTTATCTCTCGCATTAAGGTTTTTATTCGCAATTCCCTCGCTTTAATATTTTTTATTTAGTTAAGTGTTTCTTCTAATAGTTTTTTTCCTAATTAAAACTACAAAAAATAAAAGCAACAGACATTTCAATATGGCGGCTGTAGTCCCAATTTTGGCCACTTCACACATAATCTAAAAAAGCGCTAGCGTAGCGTTCCCAACGGATGATAATAGTTATAAATTATTTTTAATCTAATATTAAAATATTTATAAATAACTCTATCTTTAATTAAAAAAAATATATTTTATTATAAATATTCTTGAACAAAGTTGGAATTTGATAGTTTTCTTGATATTTTATTTTTATTATTTTATAAATACGTGATTTTCATGTACTTTATAACATTAACATGTTAAAAGATATCCTGTTTACATTAATCCAGTCCAGCAGTAGGAATGACGCTGGACTATACCTGGAAAAAGGTTAATACACACTGGAACTACACGTAATTTTTGTGTGGGTTTACATTTTTCCAGTTATAATCCAGCTCTGATATCAATCACTGGACTGGAATTATTTAAATGGGGCATATTTCCAAGATCTGTTAATACTATTGCATTATCGTACGTAACAATGCGGTAGGAATTATATTAATACTGTTTTATCGAATTGTTAACAAACTACTCCAAGTTGTTACGTTTAGTGATGCGATATCGTCTCTCATAAGAAAGTAGCTATAACATCGTTAATGTTATAACGCTAACAAAAATAACCGTTATTGTAACGTTTCTTTTTAATATTTATTTTTTTTTAAATTAAAGTGAAACAGTAAACCATTTATTTCTTTATTTATTTTATTTAGTTTAATTCGTTGGGAAAGAACGCTAGTTGTTTCTACGCGGGATTAAATATGTGTTTTAAATTTACGGCATAAAGGTAGGCAGTATTACTTATTTTTGGCTAATTCTTTGGTCTCAAATCTCGGATTTTTGGTAAATACAATCTAAAAGGTTTTAGATAACATCATTCTGTATTGAAATGTTAAAACAACTGATTTTTAAAACTGTTAATTAACGAACTCTAGTAACCAGTTAATTCTACACAAATGTCAACTTTAATGCTTATGGAATAAGGTTATGTTTATTTTAATTTGCGTCGTACTTCCAACGTTCAATTATTAGTTATAATTTGTTTTTCGAGTGTTTTTACGTGGATAATAGTCGATTATTTAGTTTAGTTTAAAGTTAAGTTGTGTTTATTTTTAACTATTTGTCGGCAATCCGCCTTTGACTTACATTTTGTTTCTTTCAGTAGGTTAAAATTAATTATAAGGACATTGTAAAAATGAATCAAGTGGAAAAGATATAAAAAAACTAGTAGTGAGTAGTATGTAAGAATAAAAATCGTTTTAGTCATAAGTTATTGTACTTATACAGGGTGAGATTAATATTGAGATGTACGATTATTTTTACTTGTATTAATTAAAATATCTGTTAAACATAATTTTTAAAAGAATAAATGACATCTTTAAATGTGCGGTTAATATCTAGATGTTACAAAAAATTAAGAAATGTTTATAAATTTATGTTATTTTATTTTTTATTTCTAATCAAAACTAAATTTTACCAAATGCCAGATTTATCTGTATAATATTTTATTATATCTGTGAATTATAATATTTTATTTATTTTATTGTTAAGTAACATCCATGTTTTGAACATCCTATAAATGTTAAATTTTGCCGAAACATTATTTCTATATTATTCTCATCCTGTATATGTTCATAGTATAAGCTAGTTTTAGGTATTTCAGGTCTGTAATTTTTCATTATTTTTATTTATGTTAAGTTATCGAGAACCAAGAATCGTCATTTATTTATCATTATTGAATAATTTCTTTATTATAACATCCTCTGTGATCAAGTATGTGTCCAATTACATCGGACGTTTGTAATTGTCAAGTTTATACAAAATAAGGGTGGATACACATGATATACTGGCGGTATATAAATATCTAGTTAATTTAAATTCAGTTACGAATCACAATCATTACAATCACTTCTATCTAAATATTTTTTTATGTTAGCAATTTAACAACATATTCGCAGTCATTGCGGTATTTTATTGGAATTAAACTCTACTAAAAACTTAAAATATTCTTGCGTCTCTTATCTGGGATAGTGGAACACTTTAAAATACCAACCGATGAGGCAGTTCCGTTCCTGGGGAACTGCTTCCCTACCTTCAGTAAGGCTCGCTAAACACCAAGCACGGTCAACTAACCTAAATCAAAGTCACGAACTTACAGCCTTACCAATCTCAGCGTTATAAAGTTATACTTAGTATAAGCAAAATTTGAACTCATATTTGCTTAAACTCAGTTTATTCCTAAGTTTAGCTTCATACTGCGTTTATTTGTAAGGCTGAAAATGTCTAAGTTCAAACATCAAAATTCGGTATTACCTCAGTATATACGTGTATGAACCCTCATAAACGTAACCCTTACATCGTATTCCATGTGTCTACAAGTAATACGATGTGAGGTAAAGTAAAGAATACTTCATACAACCAAACGGGAATCCACCTCAAGTTAAAATATTCGATTCATTTATTTTGTCTTTATAAAATTAGTAATAAGTTGTAAATACTTTGGAGTGCGTGTGGGACTAAGTTGTTATGATTAGTGATAAATTCAATCAACGTATATTTTTATAACAAAATTAGGCTTAAGTTAGGATATTCGAAAAGAACTTAATAAAAACAACATTAACGTTATTAATCTGGTGGTAAATCTCCAGAGTGAAATATAAACGTACAATCGTGAATATTTCAGTCTGAAAAGGGATTAAAAATACGTTAATGAAGTTTTTATTTAGTGAATAAAATGTTTCACTAGATAGTAAGTTAATATAAAACTTTTTAGTTTTCTTACTAATTCAAAATGGCTGCTATGATTAGCAGAATTGTTTTGAGCGCCATTTTGAATTTAGAAATTCGAAGCCCGCGCACAATATACCAATTTATTTTTAATTCAAATTACGTTTAACAGCTTTAATTTATTTTTATTATAGTCATGCTTATTCTTATTTTGTGTTTAAGAAAGTCAAATTGCTAAATATTTTAATTCTGTAAAGAAAATTTCAGTATAAAGAATTCTTTTAAAATACCTACCAATCTGTTCAAATCTAACTGCACTTTCCGTGCCATTTAGAGCAAAACTAAGTTAAATAAAATCGAGTCCTTATACGAAACTAACAGTATCAACTAACTCTGTTACACGATTTTGTAACGCCATCTATCGGATAAACAAATACAAATTTTAAATAAGCAGACGCGGATTTTCTTTTGTTTTTTCGTTTTAAATAAACAATAACATTTATGCAAAATATTCTAAATAGATATAAGAATCAATATTAATAGCAATAGAATTAAATCTCAATTATAATCAACTCTAGAAAAAAACTGTATCT